ACCCATCTTAAAGTTGCCGAGGTTGGACTTCCTGGCTGGGGAATTCTGGGAGTTGAAGTCCACCCATCTTAAAGTTGCCGAGGTTGGACTTCCTGGCTGAGGAATTCTGGGAGTTGAAGTCCACCCATCTTAAAGTTGCCGAGGTTGGACTTCCTGGCTGGGAAATTCTGGGAGTTGAAGTCATCCCATCTTAAAGTTGCCGAGGTTGGACTTCCTGGCTGGGGAATTCTGGGAGTTGAAGTCCACCCATCTTAAAGTTGCCTAGATTGGACTTCCTGGCTGAGGAATTCTGGGAGTTGAAGTCCACCCATCTTAAAGTTGCCGAGGTTGGACTTCCTGGCTGGGAAATTCTGGGAGTTGAAGTCATCCCATCTTAAAGTTGCCTAGATTGGACTTCCTAGCAGGGGAATTCTGGGAGTTGAAGTCCACCCATCTTAAAGTTGCCTAGATTGGACTTCCTGGCTGAGGAATTCTGGGAGTTGAAGTCCACCCATCTTAAAGTTGCCTAGGTTGGACTTCCTGGCTGGGGAATTCTGGGAGTTGAAGTCCACCCATCTTAAAGTTGCCGAGGTTGGACTTCCTGGCTGGGGAATTCTAGGAGTTGAAGTCCACCAATCTTAAAGTTGCCTAGGTTGGACTTCCAGGCTGGGGAATTCTGGGAGTTGAAGTCCACCCATCTTAAAGCTGCCTAGATTGGACTTCCTGGCTGGGGAATTCTGGGAGTGGAAGTCCACCCATCTTAAAGTTGCCGAGGTTGGACTTCCAGGCTGGGGAATTCTGGGAGTTGAAGTCCATCCATCTTAAAGTAAAACAACGCACTCCATCTTACTGTTAAAAGTCCAGATTCCCTGAAAGATTTGATTTAACATGGAGAGAAGTAAAAAATTGTGGAGTCGAGAGAAAAAAGTGAGCGGGTTCATCTAGCCAACACATCACAGCAGTTTGCTAACCTGAGGTCCTTCGGCTGTGGGGCAGCCACAACCTCAGAAGCATGGATTTCTGCCTTGAGCAGGGGGTTAGACTAGAGGATCTCTAAAACCCCTTTTTTTCTATGAATTTATGGGGCGCTAGTTGACAACTCTGGAAGCTGAATTTGCGAGACACCTAGATAACATTCAGGATGAACCGGTATTCGTGTATTCATGCGTGCAAGCAGTGCGTGTAAGCAAAGCGCACGCGCGGAAGCCGCACGCACTCATGGAGCCTGCACATGCGCTCACCAGTTTCGGTGCGCGGAGAACCCGTGGTAACATTATGTGAAACCCACCTCTGGTCTTTCCGTTAAGGACAACAAAACGGTGTTGCGGGAAGCAAATCCAGTTTGTAGATCCTGGTTAGAAATGTAGGACTGTAAGACTCTAGAACCTCATATATTTTTCGCCTCTATTGTAGCATCCAGAACTATACCCCCAAGGTCGGCGAACAGGCCACCTTTGCCGCGATCCGACGGGCCTTCCGTGTCTGGCAATCGGTGACGCCGCTGCGTTTCCGCGAGGTGCCTTACTCATCCGTGCGGGAGGGCCGCGAAACGCAGGCGGACATCATGATCTTCTTCGCCGACGGCTTCCATGGGGATAGCACCCCGTTCGATGGTGAAGGCGGCTTCTTGGCCCATGCCTACTTCCCGGGGCCCCACATCGGTGGCGACACTCACTTTGACGCGGCTGAGCCCTGGACCTCTCGTAACGATGACCTCAGCGGTGAGAGGCTGGGATTATGGGACAACTTTTGATGGAGGGGGGGGGATGGAGACAGTGACCCTGGGAGGAACCGGGGAACAGATTGTCCAAGTGACTCACAGATGGTGATCCATCCGTGGTTAATCCCATCTGCGCTACTCACTCGCTCGGGACCCGGCAGAACGTGACTTCTCTTTTCCACTTCTCTAGACTTCCTCGATTGCGTTCTTAGTTCCCCTTCAGCCTTCCCTGTTGTGAAAACTCTTTGGGGGCAGAAATGGGGATGCCCGTAGAAGAGGCACCCTCTGTTCTTCCTGTCCTGGCAAAAACCCCTTTTATTAATTTACTGTAAATTCTGCTCATTTATACCCGTTAAAGTCTTTCAAAGGAAGACCTTATCTGGCTTGGAGAGCTGCCAGGCCGATATCTGCAAAACTTGGCAAGGAGTCTCAGAGAGTCATGAACCAATTAGCAAACTAATGGTCTCCTGCAAACTCCACTCCCCTTTCGCTCCTCTTTTATTTCCTCTGGGAGGGGCCATTCACTGTCCATCTATGGCCTTAATCCCAAATCAACCCTAGTTCCTTAGCTGTTCCCTTCTCCTGGCAGCTCTGTGCATGCGCACACTGGGAACAGGCTCTAGCTGTTCTGCCCCCTTATCTCCAACTCCGAAGGCAGCTGATAACTGTCGGATGGCCCTGGCCCCATCTCTGCCTCTGATGCAGAGACCTCATCAGAGCCTTCCCCAGACTCCAGGACTCGCCCAGGTTCCTCCCCAACCTCCTCACTGTCTGAATTTGCCGCAACATTTAGATGGCTCTATTCATAAGCAAAGCAAATACTGCCGGCAGAAGTCCATTCAAGGCAGGATGTTTTGAAAACCCCTGTTGGAAAGGAAAATCCATCCAAAAATCCATCAATCTGCTGCCAGTTCTGCTGGCTGCTGGCGGACCACAACACCATCCTCCACGTCCCTGAGCTACACAATCCTTATTTTTGCTGTGAAGCAATCTCTCTCTTCTGCGGTTCCTCTCTTTTCCGCGGTCAAGGGAAGTTGCAACAGCTGAAGGATGAGGTAGGGATTTTCAACAGCATCCTTGGTGCCCCCAATTCATTTCCTGCCCTCTGCCTTTCAGGAAATGACATCTTCCTGGTCGCCGTCCATGAGTTGGGTCACGCACTAGGGTTGGAGCACTCGAACGACCCTTCTGCCATCATGGCTCCTTTCTACCAGTGGATGGACACGGAGAACTTCGAGCTGCCAGAAGATGACCGGCGGGGGATACAACAGCTCTATGGTATAACAGAATAACTGAGTAGGGAAGGACCTTGGCGGTCTTATACTCTAGCCCTTTGCTCAGGCAGGAAACCCTATACCCGTGATGGTGAACTTATGGCACGTGTGCCTCGCTATGTGGGTACACGAACTATCGCCCCAGCTCATCGCCACGCATGTGCACGTGCCTCCCGCCAGCTAGCTGATTTTCAGGTCTCTGCTGAACATGCGGTGGGCGGGCGGGTCACGAGTGCATGCACGGGATGGGCGGGGCCCCCATGCAACCCCGTGTTTGTTCCCAGGAGGCTTCAGGGAGGCCTGCTAGGCCCCAAATGGCACAGAAGGAGCGGGCTGCATGTGCAGGGGGAGCGCTGGGAGAGGGGTGTCGCACATGCATTGCATTATGGGTGTGGGCCATCCAGGGGTGGGCGGGGCCATCCAGAGGTGGGATTTGGAGATTCTCTGAACCAGCCATGAGGTTAGCTACGGGTGCGAACTCCTAGCAGCCCACCCTTATATGTTACCCGTTGACCAGGTGTGAATAAAAAAAAGAGCCGAGGTGGCGCAGTGGTTAAATGCAGCACTGCAGGCTACTTCAGCTGACTGCAGTTCTGCAGTTCGTCTGTTCAAATCTCACCGGCNGACCGGCAGATGGAATCCGGAGGAGGCCTAATCTGTGCGATCTTATAGGCCTCAGGGAGGTAATTGGCAGGAGGCGATCTCTCAAGTAGCCAGGTTGAATTCCACTTGTAGTCTTTTGCTATGCAGTTTTGGCTGCAGGCAAGCTAATTTGATATTTGTGACAATTTATCTTCGTTGTCTGACACTAAGATCAAGTAATATAAACCATTTTTTCTCAACCCTGGAAACTTTAAGATGTGTGGACTTCAACTCCCAGGATTCCCAAGCCAGTCCACATATCTTAAAGTTGCCACAGTGGAGAAACACCAATCTAATGCCAGATTACCATGTTGGAAAAAAAAGTTTTACAATATATTTTTATAAGTTTCTGTTCTTCCAAGCTAGCGTGATATCCAACTATTTGTTACTCTATCTTCCTTTTTAATTGGCTTTTTCCATGTGTAAAATATACCAGAACAATGCATTTTATCACAGTAAAGCATCTAGTCATTTCTGTAGCTGCTTTTGCGGAAGAATATATTCCTATTTTTGATTAGAAAGGAACTCTACACTCCAATGACATCTCTGGGGGCTGGGAAAAAGTTCTGCTCTTGCTATGTAGATGGAACAGCTGTCACCTGTTATATCCATTGAGACTAACCCAGTCCAGAAAATGGCACTAAACAGAAAGAAAGAAGCCAACTATGCCAACACATAAGCTCTATTGGGAAACAGCTAATGGACACAGTTCAATTACGACACGTTCCAGCATTCTCCTACACACAAAATGATAGCACACTGCACAAAGTAATAGCATAAACTCACAATATGCTATTATTTATCCTAATCCTTTGGGCTTAGTACTATAGACAGCAATTGCCCTATTCCTGACCCTTCCTTTGGATAAGGAGTTATTTCCTCCTCTGCTATTCACATCAATTACTTTGGAAAGAGAGGTTGGTTCACACAAGGCAGCAGGCAAATAGGTGCCCAAGCAGGAAGACAATATTTTAGATCTGCTCAGTAAGGGGAAAACTCAACTGTCGAGGTGCTAAAGAAATTGCCCAGGACACACATTAACCACAACTATGTGTGTCATATTAGCTATGGCAAAATGATTGGTTGGATGTGAAGATTTAATGAACCTAATCAATTGTTATTAATGAAACCAGTTATACAACTATACGATGTGGTGTGTGAACCCATTGTTAATTCTAAAAGTACATGTCAGGTTACCCATAGTCATTCTGGCTCCCTCATTTTGAAAACTGGGAGGAAAGATACAGAATAGCAGGCAGTATTCTGTAGTGGTGGCTATATTCACACAACACACTTATGATCAACTCATCCAAATGTTCTTGGTTCACACAACAAACAAACCATACATTATATTATATGGCTGATCTGCACAGCACATTAGGCTAATATGTGCACTTTATCTACAGTTTCTCTGTCTCTTTCCCTGCAAGAATACAGGATCCTGTCAGAAACACACAGCACAAAAGCAAATTAAAATATAGAAAATCTCATTTACAGAAGTGGCATCAAGTGGGGTGTAATAGTAGGCCAAACTTCCCCAACCTGGCACCTTCCAGATGCTGGATCTAGAACTCCCCTAAATGTCTGGCTATGATACCTCCAACACTCCTGGAAAGCTGTCAGGTTGAGGAAGAACGCATTAGGCAGCAGGCAGTAAATGACTCAGCCGGATTTGAATTGCAAAAAGGCAGCAATCTTTTTAAATTAATTATCTTGATCAAAACTGTAAGGAAGGAGGGCAGCGCTTGTAGGACTGTCTGTCTCAGGAGCCAAGGAACTCGGCTCGTCTGGGGCGTTTGCCAGCATCAAGTTATAACAGGACTGGCGCAAAGCTGGACTCGTTGTTCAAGACTAAAAAGCGCTTCAGGTATGCCGAACTCGGCTCAAGAGCTATCAATACGAAGACGTCCTTCCTTTTCCCCGATAATCACCGCCCACCATCTTAATAAGCCCTGCACCTTCTCACGCGACCGGTCGAGACGGAGGAACCGGGCACCGCGAGGAGGTGGCACCGAAAGCTGCTTTCGGAATCTACCACTTCTAGGAAGTGACGCCTTCCCAGAATCCTACCGCAAGAGGCGAAGTTGGCGCTGGCTCCGTTTGCCTGGTTGACGACAACGGCGGCGTCTTTGCCACCCGTCTGGGCTGCTGCGGTGAGCTCGTCCTTCCGCGCTTGGATTTGGGTTGTGCGGGGCCGCTCTTCGGTGCCGTGGACTCCTGCAGCAGGTAGCTTACTCCGGACTTCTCCTTTTGCTCCTTTCTGCTTGCTCCTGCTCCCTTCCAAGCAGAGCAAGTTGCAGGAGAAAGTTTACGAGGAGAGAGGGGGTTGGTTTGCGTTGACTATGCAAATATAGAGCAGGCGCCGAGTGAGTGACAGCAGAGCGGCTCGGAGTTGTTTTGCAAAAGCGGACCGGCCGCTGCGGCCGAATGAACCCTCGGCGTAGGGAGGGGTGTGTATGTTTGTGTGCAAAGTTAAGAAAGCTCTTGTCACGAGTTGGCGGTGTTGGTTGTCCTTTTTAAAAAGTAGCTCAGGTTTCGGTCCGCTCCTCTTTGGAGCTCCACAAGCGCTGCTTCGCCCTAGAAAAGAGGCCGCGCGATTAATTTTGCCCCGGATTCCACGCGCCGCGAATCAAAGAAACACTGGAGCCACACGGGTGGCGAGATGAGTTGTTGTGATCTTGGGCATGGAAGGGGATCTTCGGGCCTTTATTCGCTGAACAAAGCTTTCCTGCGAGTGACCTCCGTGTTGCTGCCGTTAATAGAGGTGGGGGTGGGAGATCGAGAAGCTTAGGTAGCGAAGCGGCCCTTCCAGATATGGGGCGCAGCTGCAAGCGCCAACCAGAAACAACCCTTCCTGCTTTGCAGCGTAGTACGAAAATGTCCTCCCCCGCTCCCGAGGGGGGCGAGGATCAGGCGTCATCCTTGGAATACGGGCAGGTTTTCCCCTGGTCTCGCCGCGGACGGAGAGCGAGAAGCCCTCTGGGGGCTGAGGCTTGCAACATACCAGTCGCCTTGGATAAATGTTTGAGACTGTCCTGTTCCGTGTTTTATTCGTACTAGAGAGGAGGGGATTCTTTGGCAGGGAGCTCTCCCAACACCCACTGACATGTGGCAGTGCCTTACATAATACCGGCAAGCCTTCTGGTAAGCCTGATGAAGGCTTATTTTGGAGAGGTTGCAACCTTTGCAGGGTGTACGGAGCAGAGCGCTTGTGCTGAAATGCTGCAGTGAGTCCTTGCCCTTCTTCCTTCTTTGTAAAATCTGTAACTGACTTAAAGAAAACCTGCCGTTTGGAATGCAAAATAAAACAAAATGTAGTAAAGATGGGCATTTCCCCACATGCACCTTATGTAGCATGAATAATGTTCTGGAAGCCTCTTTTCTTTGGGCAACTCGGCATGCCGTTCTCTTAATCGCAACCCCAAACTTTACTTAAAGGAATTTAAAGTCACGCTTAGCTTTTAAAGTGGTGCTTTCACTTTTAAAGAGGCAACAAGTAGCGTGGGTTGCATAATGAGTATAATCATATATGCTTCACTAGCCATTTTATCAGGGTCATAGGTGACATCTAAGGTGGTCATTTATATAAGTATGGATATTTGACATTTGCTAAGAGGGGAAGGCAACAAAGCCGGGCAGCCTTCCCATCTGTGTCCTTAATGTATCTATGCACCGTCAGTATGGACAGCGCCATTTGCTGGCATATCTGTGACAGGACAAGGACAGATTTATTATGCGAAACAGTATTACAAGCAAAACCCACACTGTACATACTTGAAGCTTTAATTAGTTCCATGTGGCAGCGGCCTCACTGTGCCAAGCTTTTAATATAAGGAACTGCTCAGTATGCAGAGAAGCCTGCTTTTATCATGCTACTACTAAACCACAAGACAGAGTATTTGTAATAGTAGATAATATCCTTGGCTTCCGTTTAGTCCAGCATATTTCACTAGGCAAGGCAAGGGTTGTATTTGCACAAACTGCTAGTCCATATTTAACTGGAAAATCTTTTTTCTTCCTAACATTATTCCAGTGCCATGGTAGGGTCAGCTTGTCAGCAAAACCGTCTCCATTTGGCTCAACCCAGGGTGTCTAATTAACTGAACAATATGTTAACCGTATTGACTGGGTTTATATGACATACTGAGCTACCGATTAGCCAGCTGCATTTTTAACATAGTACTTCTGTTAGCCAATTAACATTGGCCTGTGCAATGGATCTATTAAATTATTGAAATCTTCCAACCCAACAACTTTGCAACCCCCTGAAATCATAAATGAATTTTCTGCAACCCAAATGAATAAAAAAAAATTCCATTGGGCTTAAGTTCAGACAAGAAAGAAGTATAACCCTTCTAAGAATTAAATATTAATCTATATCACAAGATTTCTCAGGCTTTGCAGTGTCATTAGTGGCCACTGGGGCTTATGCAGGCAAAGTAAGGAGCAAAGAGGAACCAGTTTGAAATAATGTCCCATTCTGCCTGGGGAAAGCTGACTTTTTTTTTAAAGGAAGAGACACACACTCACAATGCAGTTGCTAATAACCACACTGGGAAGTCTCAACCCACAGTTTGAGGGCTTCTGTCCTAGCCCAATTTTCTGCTTCTTTAATAAAAAGAAATAAGCAAAGGTTTTAAGGACGGGGGTGGGGGTGNTGAATGGCCCCTCCCAGAGGAAATAAAAGAGGAGCAAAAGGGGAGTGGAGTTTGCAGGAGACCATTAGTTTGCTAATTGGTTCATGACTCTCCAAGACTCCTTGCCAAGTTTTGCAGATCTCGGCCTGGTAGCCAGAGCCCCATCAGCTGCCTTTGGAGTTGGAGATCAGTGAGGCAGAAGAACAACTGGAGCCTGTTCCCAGTGTGCGCATACGCAGAGCTGTCAGGAGAAGGGAACAGCTAAGGAACATGGGTTGAGTCGGGAGTAAAGGCAGAGGTGGACGGTGAATGGCCCCTCCCATAGGGAATGAAGAGGAGAGAAGGGGAGGGGAGTTTGCAGGAGACAGTTAAGGGGAAGATCTGTTCCTGACTTCTTGCCAAGGAATTGCTGCCACAGCGTGGCGTTTGGAAGATATCGGCCCAGCAGCTCTCCGAGCCTCATAATGGTCTTTAGTTGTGAAATCTCATGAAAGACAGTTGGCCGGGACTTTGCTGGAGTGGAATTCCCTTTAACCTAATTAAGAGAGGTTTTATCGGGACGAGGGGTCTGCTTCATGATCTTGGGAAGCCTAAGTGAGAACAAATACCCTGTTAGAAAAGATTGCTTTCAACTTCATCTGGATTTCAGGTAGATTAGGTTTATAACCATAATTGAGCCTGGAATGATGGTCCTTTGTTACGTGTTACCACCAAGCACCTAATCCCTAATTTATGCTGTCTCTATTTAATGGTTTTTATCAGGGGTGCGTTCCGGATTCTTTTATTGCTGCTTTGCTTTGAGATGCATTTTGGGTGCGCGGGTTCTTCACGCGCGCCCTTGATGCGCGCTCTGCGTGCATGCGCAGTAGTGGAAAAATTGCTTCTGTGCAAGTAAAACAAAGCAAGATAGAATCATTTTGAAGGCATTGGTGGCCAAGTTACTACCTACTCGAAAAGAGACGTACTCCGGTACGTACCAGACCGTACCGGTACATTCTGGAGTGTACCGGTACATACCGGTAAGATAGAATCAGTTTGAAGGCATTGGTGGCCAAGTTACTACCTACTCGAAAAGAGACGTACTCCGGTACGTACCAGACAGTACCGGTACATTCCAGAGCGTACCGGTACATACTGGTAAGATACAATCAGTTTGAAGGCATTGGTGGCCAAGTTACTATCTACTCGAAAAGAGACGTACTCCGGTATGTACCAGACCGTACCGGTACATTCTGGAGCGTACCGGTACATACCGGTAAGATAGATCAGTTTGAAGGCATTGGTGGCCAAGTTACTACCTACTCGAAAAGAGACGTACTCTGGTACGTACCAGACCGTACCGGTACATTCCGGAGCATACCGGTACATACCGGTAAGATAGAATCAGTTTGAAGGCATTGGTGGCCAAGTTACTACCTACTCGAAAAGAGACATACTCCGGTACGTACCAGACCGTACCGGTACATTCCGGAGCGTACCGGTACATACCGGAATGTACCGGTTCGAACCACCTCTGGTTTTTATACATGAAGATGCCTAGATTTGAATTTCCCACGGAAATGATCCCTGCGGATGTCTCTTTTCTTTCGCGTCACTTGACTGATGGAAGTGAAAATTTCACATTTTCCCAGGATAAATGGTTTTGGCGAGTACGTAACAACCGTGTGATCGACGGATATCCCCTCCCGATCGGTCAGTTCTGGGTCGGTCTTCCTGCCTCGATCAACACGGCCTACGAGAGGAAAGATGGGAAATTTGTCTTTTTCAAAGGTTAGTGTTTTGGGTCTAAAGGGCTCGAATTTTGACCAAGAGGAGCCAGCAAGATTACAGAGTGTCGAAGCACAAATTTAAATCGCTTTCTCTACGTCAGCGGGTAGCAAGGTGTGGTCCGTGAGAAAATTTTGGTGGCCCGCAGAAAAAAATCTTGGCATTTTTTATATTGCGCTAAATCTGGGATCCTCGAACTACAGCTCCTAGACCGGATATGGCCCGCCGAAACAATTACTTCCTGCTCGCTGATGGGATGGGGTCCTTCAGGCATTTAGCTCGGCTGCCTGTTTAGTAGCTGAAGCGCTTCCCTCCCTCTCTCCCTGGGAGTCCAGGCGCTTCAGTGAGCGGTGTGCGAAACTTCGGCTGGGCTCCTCAAAAGACAGAGTTTGTAGGAGGCCAATTTAGCGCCCAAGCTGGTTACAAGACAGTCATTCTTGGCCGTGTTTTGAGCTTCCCAGCAAACCTAAGGTTGATCCTGGGCGTTTCCCTCCGCTAATAGGCGGCCAAGCTAAGTGCCTGAAGGACCCCCATCCCGTCACTGATTCATATTAGTGATCCACCGGATTTTAAATTACGAATTGAGTGTCCGAAAGGTTGGTGAGTCCTGTCCTACACGTTTTTTGCAAACCAAGCCTAAAGTGTGAATTTTAGTGTAATTGCCCATCTCCTTTTTAAAAAACCTCCAGTGATGGAACACCCACAATTTCTAAAGGCAAGCTGTCCCACTGGTTAATTGTCCTCATTGCCAAGAGGTTTCTCCTTAATTCCAGATTGCTTCTCTCTTTGATTAGTTTCCATCCGTTGCGTCTTGTCTTGCCTTCCGGTGCTTTGGTAAACAGGTTGACCCCCCCCCTCCTCCTCGGGGCAGCCCCTCAAATACCAGAATGCTATCATGTCAACCCTACACCTTGTTTTCACTAGACTAGAGAAGCCCAACATCTTCGAATGCTTCTCAAAAAAAGACCAGAGATACCATATTTTTCAGAGTATAAGACGCACCGGAGTATAAGACGCACCAAGGTTTTGAAGAGGCAAATTTTCCACGAAAATGGGCCCTTTCTTTCCAAAAGAGGGCATGAATAGCCTTTAGGAGGCTTATAGAGCAGTGTTTCTCAACCTTGGCGACTTTAAGTCCTGTGGACTTCAACTCCCAGAACCCACCAGCCTGCAGAGCTGGCTGGG